CATACTCACAAGTACAAAACAAATAACACTTCACTGGTTTATATGCTTCTACTTCTAACTAGAGCGCTTTAGAAATTAATTTAAATAGTATGATACATACGCGTATTTTAACTTTAAACAAAATACACTTTAAATAAAATAAGAAACTTCTCGCTATTAGGTACAGATTGATTAGACAATACGGCTCATCTCGAAAATCATATGGACAATTGCATAACGAGTTTTTGAGCTAGATGTGAATAACAGGACTTACAAGTATATTATCGAAATCCACCCTTACATAGGAATGACAAGGGGTAGGATTTGAACAATTTTGTGAGGATATCTCAAACTTTATGTTGGAAAATGCTCCATTTAATTGTTTTCTTCTTATTCGATATAAAACAGTTATAATTTATAGGTGATAATACAGGGATCCGATTTTAATCTATTAAAGAATATTTAGAACAATCAAGAATAATTGCACTTATCTTATAAACTCACTTCCACAACTAACTGTAACAGTAAATTTACTCTGAAATAATGATCTTTGTTTTCAGAACTCAAATATCTCTATTACTTCAGGGAGTATTTACCAGCAACTGATATTTTTCGAGGATCTTTAACACTTGCATCTCATAATCCATTAACATTTCAAAATATGAGATATAGCGCTATTATTCTTGGTCGTTTCATTCGCCTCCCAATTTTTGACAGATAAAACTGAGACACCCTGTATATAACCAAGACATATTCACATATTCACGATCGGTGTTATATTCACACAAGTCACTCGTAAATGCCTCTATTTTTGACTACATTTTGCACTTCAGTCGATGGTAATTCGCATCTGTAAATACCAGTACATTTGCATTAAAGAAGACTCTCGATGTGACATCGGATATTGCTATTGTATTTCATTTCATTATGGCAGTTTTTACACCTGTACATTTGAGCCCGAATGATCTTTATGTTTCAGTTGGTGCCGTTTCATGTAACCCCTTGTATTCAGTTTGGTAATCGTAGTCGTTACACTTGTACATTTGAACTTGCGAAGGATCATTATGCTTCAGTTGGTGTTTTTTCATAACTTTCCTGTACTTAGTTTTGTAATCACAGTCGTTACACCTGTACATTTGGACCTGGGAAGTATATTTATGTTTCAGTTGATGCCGTTTCATATTCCTCGTGTATTTAGTTTTGAAATCGCAGTCGTTACACTTGTACATTTGAAGCTGTGAAGGATCACCATGCTTCAGTTGGTGCTTTTTGATATCTTCCTTGTGTTTAGTTTCGTATTCACAGTCATTACATCCGTAAATTTGAACTTGCGAAGGATCTTTATGTTTCAGTTGGTGTCGTTTGACATTCTTCTTGTATATTGTTTTGAAATCGCAATCATTACACCTGTATACTTGAACCTCTGAAGGATCATTATGCTTCAGTTGGTGCTCTTTGATATCTCCCTTGTATTTAGTTTCGTATTCACAGTCATTACATCTGTAAATTTGGATCTGTGATGGATCTTTATGTTTCATTTGGTGCCGTTTGATATTCTTCTTGTATACGGTTTTGAAATCACAGTCATCACACCTGTATATTTGAACATGTAAAGGGTCATTATGCTTCAGTTGGTGCTTTTCTATATCTTTCTTGTATTTAGTTTCGTAATCACAGTCATTACACTTATAGATTTGTTCCTGTGAAAGATCAATATGCTTCAGTTGGTGCTTTGTGATATTACTCTTGTATTTACTTTCGTAATTGCAGTCCTTACACTTGTACATTTGAACCTGTGAAGGATCTTTATGCTTCAGTTGGTGATGTTTGATATAACTCTTGTATACAGTTTTGTAATCGCAGTCGTTACACCTGTACGTTTGAACCTTCGAATGGTCTTTATGCCTCAACAGGTGCCTTTGAAGTGATTTCTCATTTTCAGTTTTATACTCACAAAATTCACATTTATACACTTCCGAATCGTTCTCGTGTCTCACAAAGTGTGCTGTAAAATGGATCTCACTTCTAGTTTCGTAAATGCATTTATCACATTTGTACAATACTCTGCCCTCCTGCTCGGTTTTCATTTCTGATCCATTCTCATGTTTACATCCATCCTCTGCTTCATCTTTACAGACACTCTCCTCGAATGGTACCATATCGGAGCTCTGCAGTGACGTGTTGCTGAAAAAATTTCACATACAGGGTATTTTTAAAAATCAAGTTTTAATTTTTAGGAGTTTATATGTGACACATGTCAAAATAATGCATTTAACAAAAAGTGACTAATAAACCAACATATTTACATTTGAAGGTAATGTAAAGTGACCAAATATTATCGGAGCCAATGCGGGACCATAGAAGATAAAACAACTATGGCGGGACGCTGTGCAGGTTTAGTATAAGATTGCCAGATAATTAATTGCATTTAATTATGAGCACTTTATTATTATTATTAAATAAATTATTAGCAATTATTAATTACGAGCAATGTAATATAGGTGTAGGTAATTAAACAATTGTTTTCTGAATAACATAAGTATCTGAAATGACTGATGTCAGTGCTAACCCACCAAATACATATTCGAGGAATCCCAGACATAAGTAGTGTTCGGGACGTTACAATGTTGCCCACGCTAGTACCTTTCAATTTTTGTTGTTACAGTTCGGAATTATGAAGCATTTAATTTTCAGTTTATATTATTATAATGTTACTGTCACATGAACATAAGATGTAGGAAGGAATACAATGAATCCGGGACACTGTAAATGTGGGAACACGGGACAATCCCCCAAAATATATTTTTTTATCAATTCTGGAAAATATTTTTCTTCTGCATTCAGCTATATAAAGAAGTATATAGTTTCATTAGAAATATTGCTAGAAAAACAGCAAAAAAGATGAACCCTACTATCAGTAGCTTTATTCTGAAAAATGATAGCCAGCTGCGGAAACAACTGAATTTTGACGTTTCTAAATAACGGTTTTTCAAAATAACTGACATTTTGTACCTGCTATTCTATCTATAACTAATTATAACATGAATACTTACAGTAACCAAGAAAAACTAGATATGATTTTAATTTGAGAGTGTTAAAAGAACGCTAAAGCTGCCAGGCATATATACCAACATCGTTTTCTGCAGAGACAACCTCCATCAGATAAAATTTTCGGAAAGTTAGCCAGGAATTTGGCAGATGGTTTGCAAAAGAAAAGAGGAGTTTTTAAACCCAGAAGGGTAAGAGATGAAGAACATTCGATAAAGATGTTAAATGGCCTGCTATAGATCTCCGGATCTCATTCCTATAGATTTCTTTCTTTGGCCCTACCCAAAAATAAAAAGTTTACACTTCGTCATTAAATGATATTGACGATCTTAAAAACATAAAAACATATTGTTTTGAATTGTTATCTTATTATCGTATTACAAATAAAATTTGTTACTATAAAAACATAGTAACTTGTTTACGCAGCTGGCTATCATTTTTCAGAATAAAGCTACGAAAAGTAGGGTGCATCTTTTTTGCTGTTTTTCTAGCAATATTTCCAATGAAACTATAGACTTCCTTACATAGTTGAACGCAGAAAAAAATATCTTCCAGAATTGTTAAAAAAATATATAGTGTGCCATTTGAAAAAAAAACAGTTGTAATGTCATTTGATAGAGTTTGAGCTGCAATTTAAAAATATATAGAGTTTGTTGTAGCTGTTTGTTAAAATAAAAGAAATACAGGGCCGTGAATACCAAACTGAATCACCCGGTATATGGATTTACTGTATCCGCTGGGATACCAAAGAATAACAGACCTCAAAAATTTTTTTCTGAGAAAACTCATAGAATGAAATAAAATGTGGATTGTAGTAGATGTTTTTTTAGTGTTCATCTTTGTCAGAAGGGCTGAAATAACAAAAAATACAAAAACTTCTGTGAATGATTATTTAACATAACTTATGGCTCCACGGCGTGGCAACGGCGTCACGCGGCAAAAAGCCACTTAAAGTCATTACAGGCTGTGGAAAACATAGCCCTCTGCACGGCCACCGACGCGCCCTGGTACGTAAGAAACACTGACATATTACGAGACTTACAATACACAAACGCTACACAGACAATAAGACAAAACGCGGAGAAACGATTTGACGTAGCCGCTAGACATGACAATCCCCTCCTCAGGCAAGCCGTTGACTACGTACCCGACGTGACCGACAAACACAAAAGACCTAGACACCAACTTTTTGACCCTGGGTGACCNTTTGTTAATAAGTATGATGGGTTAGTTTGTTTTTATGCAAAATTTAAGTTATTTTTTTAATAGTCAAATTTATAAATAGATTTTATTTCATACTGTTCAATAGTGAACCATTTTTTGAATTATTTTTAGGACAAAAAATGGAACTTTAATGTTCTAGGACGATAAAGTAAAAGTTCTAGTACTTCAAAGAAATTTCTATGGTAACCCACGTATTACCATAGTATAAATAAATACTATTTGATTTTTTAAATAAAGTCGTAAAAATTGTATGTACCGTGGACGAAAAGTAGCTTTAGAGTACTCGTAAATTTTTACGGCCTCGACTACGCTTCTGCCGTAAAAATTTACTTGTAACTTAAAGCTTCACTTTTCGTCCTAGATACATAAATACAAAATTGTCAAAATCGAATTTACCGCTCAAAGTAGCGCCATCTTTTATTGAATAGCTTCAGTAACAGATCAGGACTAATTGTCTACGCAAAATGCATTCACGCATTCACCTAAGGCGCTGCTATCAACTGTGTGTAAAAATGCTGAGTAATCAGTTTCTGTTAAGAGACCGCCAGGATCAAGAAGCGAAGACAACGACACACATACACACCTCCCCATACCCTCCTTACCTCTCCCCTCCCGCGCTAGCCTAAGGGCTACCTTAGCAAAACGCATCCCAGGCTGCATAGCCGCACTACCCTACCCAGCCATAAACATGACACCACCCCCCGGGTTTACACAGACGAGCCGGCGAAGCAAGAAGAGCGCCAGAAGAAAGGGCCCTAGCCGGCGGGGCCCAGCCAGGACAATAGGAGGTCCCACAAAGCGCCTACACCGGCCGCATTTGCGGTCGGGGTAGACGACGGATGGGGCCCACCTACGAAGGCTGTCCAGGCCTACACGAGATGAGGCAGGATAAAGAGGGATAATCCCCCTCGATCCCAAATCATTGAGGCCAATTTCTAGCCATGGAATAATGGCGCGAGTTTCTATTAAGAGACCGCCAGGATCAAGAAACGAAGACAACGACACACATGCACACCTCCCCATACCCTCCTTACCTCTCCCCTCCCGCGCTAGCTTGCGGTCGGTGTAGACGACGGATGGGGCCCACCTACGAAGGCTGTCCAGGCCTACACGAGATGAGGCAGGATAAAGAGGGATGATCCCCTTCGATCCCAAATCATTGAGGCCAATTTCTAGCCATGGAATAATGGCTGTACCATTGTTTATATAGGTGTAAGGTGTAACTATATAAACAATGACTATACACAAGTTAATAGATGGCTGATGGCTCTCTTTTTGTAAAGTAATTAGGGGATACATTAAAATTAGTAATAATAATGAAATTATGATACAGCTGTGTTTTATTTACATGTGACCTCGGTTACTTTCATTTCTCGGCAATAAGCATTCAAAATAATTGTGATTAGTTAGTGTTAGGAACATAAAATACATTTTTTTCTCAAATTTTGTCGTGAAAACAACCTCCTTATAACTTAGTAATTTTCATACTTCGCTGGACAAGCCGGTCTGACCTAAAGCAACGACGCACGGTATTCGTTTCTCACCCCGAGACCATCGACTTGTTTGAAAAAGTATTTTTTTAGTAGCATGGAAAGGCGAAGGAAGTAAAAGGCTTTGATCATACCAGTGTGAATACAGTTTGTAGTTACCGTCTCTCATTGGTGGTACGGCATTTCAGCGCTTTGGAGGCGTTGGGAATATGATGGGATTCTGCTTAANGCATTTGCGGTCGGGGTAGACGACGGATGGGGCCCACCTACGAAGGCTGTCCAGGCCTACACGAGATGAGGCAGGATAAAGAGGGATAATCCCCCTCGTTCCTAAATCATTGAGGCCAATTTCTAGCCATGGAATAATGGCGCGCGGCGCGTTTCTCACCCCGAGACCATCGGCTTGTTTGAAAAAGTATTTTTTAGTAGCACGGAACGGCAAAGGAAGTAAAAGGCTTTGATCATACCAGGTGTGAATACGATTTACCGTCTCTCATTGGTGGTACGGCATTTCAGCGCTTTGGAGGCGTTTGGAATATGATGGGATTCTACTTAAATTTGAACTGTTCACTGTTTGTTTTGTTGTAAAAAGACCACAAACGTAACGTATTTCTTTAGATACCTGTTTCAACTTTCCTAAAAGCATCAATTTCTACTGTACGTTTGTGAAACTAAAATAGTTCAACTAAATTAGGTCAATGTCAAAGGTGATCGAGACTGAGAATTGCAAATTAAATACATGTTGCTTAAAAAAATAGTAACGCATAATTTGCAAAAACTTCAAATAATTTAAAAAAATTATTTCATATAAATCGGATTAGTATTTTAATTTAGTTTTTATTATATTCCGTTTTTAATACAACAAAAATAATTATTTTAAAACATAAAAATTAGTCATATTTTATTTATTTATTTAAAATAAAGTGTGAGTAAGTTATAAAAACCACTGGCAATGCTGAATATGTGCAGCAATACAACTTTGGGTAGATATATCCCAACTACTGCGGAGTTCAAGTAGAAAACTTTTGAGCAAATCGCATATTGAGTCAAGTAGATACGACAACTGGCAACGTCGAAAAGAGCACAACTGTGTGTGGGAAACATATTTACGGGGCAAAAGGTTGGGTTAGGTAAGTGTTAAATATAATAGATGCATTATAATCATTTGGTGTTTTTTAAAAATTTTGCAGGAATGGCCCACATTGTTCGATTTATTTTGTTGGTTCTTTTAAACGAAAAACGCAAACTGGAATAAAAATGGTTTTAGTTCAAAATTTTGTAGAACGTCAGCAAGCGAAAAACTTAAAAGTCTGATTATTAATATTGAGGCAGACGTTACGTTTTCTTCATAACCACGTACTTAAGATAGGTGTCACATCCACACTTGTCGCTCTTAAATGCCTCCATTTTTGCCAATATTTTGCACTGCAAACACAAGGGGACAATTCACACCTGCAAATCTTTTTTTGTGCACCAAGTGTGGTCTTCTCAGACTCCTTATGCTTGGTTGCTAGTAAAGTACGCCTAGTATGTTTGCATTTATGAAGACTCTTCAACATGTGACGTCCAATACCGCTCCTGTATTTAGTTTCATAACTGCAGTCGTTACGCTTGTATGTTTGGACTGGCGAAGGATTTTTATGCTTCAGTTGGTGTCGTAATACAAGTTTCATATGAAACTTGTATTTAGTTTCGAAACTGCAGCAGTCACACTCGTACATTTGAACCTGCGAGGGCTGTTTATCTTTCAGCTGGTGCATTTCGATATTCCTCTTGTATACAGGGTGTTCCTAAATATCATGTACATAAGGGAGAGGGTAATTATTTGGCTTATTTCCTGACTAAAAGTTCATATAAACATAGATCCGCAAACGCTTCGTTACCGATTTACAGGGTGTTGAAATTTTAACATGTTTTTAGTTTTTTTTCTATAGCTCCCACAGTTTTNAAAATACATTTTTTTCTCAAATTTTGTCGTGAAAACAACCTCCTTATAACTTAGTAATTTTCATACTTCGCTGGACAAGCCGGTCTGACCTAAAGCAACGACGCACGGTATTCGTTTCTCACCCCGAGACCATCGACTTGTTTGAAAAAGTATTTTTTTAGTAGCATGGAAAGGCGAAGGAAGTAAAAGGCTTTGATCATACCAGTGTGAATACAGTTTGTAGTTACCGTCTCTCATTGGTGGTACGGCATTTCAGCGCTTTGGAGGCGTTGGGAATATGATGGGATTCTGCTTAAATTTGAACTATTCACTGTTTGTTTTGTTGTGAAAAGACCACAAACGTAACGTATTTCTTTAGATACCTGTTTCAACTTTCCTAAATGCATCAATTTCTACTGTACGTTTGTGAAACTAAAATAGTTCAACTAAATTAGATCAATGTCAAAGGTGATTGAGACTGAGAATCACAAGTTAAATACATATGTTGCTTAAAAAATTATTTCATATAAATGGGATTAGTATTTTAATTTAGTTTTTATTATATTCCGTTTTTAATACAACAGAAATAATTATTTTAAAACATAAAAATTAGTCCTACTTTATTTATTTACTTAAAATAACGCGTAAGTTACAAAAACAACTGGCAACGCTGAATTTGTGCAGCAATACAACTTTGGGTAGATATATCCCAACTACTGCGGAGTTCAAGTAGAAAACTTTCGAGCAAATCGCATATCGAGTCAAGTAGATACGACAACTGGCAACGTCCAACAGAGCACAACTGTGTGTGGGAGAAATTGATGGAAACTTATATTTACGGGGCACAAGCTTGGGTTAGGTAAGTGTTAAATACAATGGATGCATTACAATCGTTTGGCAAGTTTTTTAAAAATTTTGCAGAAATCGACCACATTGTTTGATTTATTTTGTTGGTTCTTTTAATTGAAAAAAACTGGAATAAAAATGGTTTTAGTTCAAAATTTTGTAGAACGTCAGCACGAGAAAAACTTAAAAGTCTGATTATTAATATCGAGGCAGACGTTACGTTTTCTTCGTAACCACATACTTAAGATAGGTGTCACATCCACACTTGTCGCTCTTAAATCCCTCCATTTTTGCCAATATTTTGCACTGCAAACACAAGGGGACAATTCACACCTGCAAATCTTTTTTTAAGCTCCTTATGCTCCGTTGTTAGTAAAGTACGCCAGTACATTTGCATTCATGAAGACTCTTCAACATGTGACGTCCAATACCGCTCCTGTATTTACTTTCATAACTGCAGTCGTTACGCTTGTATGTTTGGACTGGCGAAGGATTTTTATGCTTCAGTTGGTGCCGTTTCATATGAAACTTGTATTTAGTTTCGAGACCGCAGCAGTCACACTCGTACATTTGAACCTGCGAGGGCTGTTTATCTTTCAGCCGGTGCATTTCGATATTCCTCTTGTATACAGGGTGTTCCTAAATATCATGTACATAAGGGAGAGGGTAATTATTTGGCTTATTTCCTGACTAAAAGTTCATATAAACATAGATCCGCAAACGCTTCGTTACCGATTTACAGGGTGTTGAAATTTTAACATGTTTTTAGTTTTTTTTCTATAGCTCCCACAGTTTTTGAGATATTTAGCTCAAATTTGGAATATAGGTTACACTGCAGGGCTTACATCATTGGAGATGCCAAATGGTTGTGATATTCTACAGACTGATATTTTTTCGGGGTTCATGCCCACTGGTAGATTCTAAAATCAAAATTGGATTTTATGTTTTGTTGAGAAACTTTTTGCCTCTTATGATTTTTTCCTATCTCCGACCGTTATCGAGAAAAAATATAAAAAACAATTTTAAGTACTTCGTTAGATGAAATTTAAAATTCTTAAAATGGTCCAGTAGGCTCTGGTTTTATTTAGATTATCTCCTGTTTCTATTAATTTTGACAGTTTATTCGCCACTACCTGTTAAAAATTAAAGCTCGGATGACCCATTTCAAAATTAGTAAAATTTGGCATTGGTATGATATTATGAGTATTTAAAACACTTTACACCTCAGTTTGTAACACAAACCTTTAATTTTTAAACATATGCAGACCCAAGATACTATTTCAAATGCGAACTGTCAAAATTAATAGAAACAAGAAATTATCTAAATATTTTGATTTTAGAATCTACAGCGGCGCACCGCACGAAAGTTCAGGGGAAGAATAGGGAGCATGAACCCCAAAAAAATATCACTCTGTAGAATATCACGACCATTTGGCATGCCTAATGATGTAAGCCCTACAGCGTAACCTATATTCCAAATTTCAGCTAAATATCTGAAAAACTATGGGAGCTATAGAGAAACAATTTTTAAAATCTTAAAATTCCAACACCCTGTAGATCGATAACGAAGGGTTTGCGGACCTATGTTTATATGAACATTTAGTAATGAAATAAGGCAAAGAATTACCCCCTTCCTTATGTACATAATATTTAGGAACACCCTGTATAGTTTCGTAATTGCAGTTGTTACACTTGTACATTTTCACCTGCGATACAATTGATGTTTTTTGTATTCTTTCTATTTACTTTCAAAATTGCAGTTGCTACACCTGTACATTTGAACCAATGAATGATCTTTATGCTTCAGTTGGTTTTTTGACACAATACTTGTCTTTAGTTTCGTAATCAGAGTCGTTACCCCTGTATATTTGAAGCAGTGAAGGATTTTTATGTTTCCTTTGATGCAGTTTCATATTATTCTTGTATTTAGTTTCGTAATCACAGTCGTTACACTTGTACATTTGAAGCAGTGAAGGATTCTTATGTTTCCTTTGATGCAGTTTAATATTATTCTTGTATTTAGTTTCGTAATCGCAGTCGTTACACCTGTACATTTGAACCTGTGAAGGATCTCTATGCTTCAGTTGGTGTACTTCCATATGTTTCCTGTATTTAGTTTCGTAATTGCAGTCATTACACCTGTACATTTGAACCTCTGAAGGATCTTTATGTTTCAGTTGGTGAAGTTTGATAAGACTCTTGTATATAGTTTTGTATTCGCAGTTTGTACACTTGTACATTTGAACCTGTGAAGGATCTTTATGTTTCAGTTGGTGTTTTTTGACAACATACTTGTATTTAGTTTCATAATCGCAATCATTACACTTATACATTTGAACCTGTGAAGTATCTTTATGCTTCAGTTGGTGTCCTTTCATATTTTTGCTGTATTTAGTTTCGTAATTGCAGTCGTTACACTTGTACATTTGAACCTGTGAGGGATCTTTATGCTTCAGTTGGTGATGTTTGATATAACTCTTGTATACAGTTTTGTAATCGCAGTCGTTACACCTGTACGTTTGAACCTTCGAATGGTCTTTATGCCTCAACAGGTGCCTCTTAAGTGATTTCTCATTTTCAGTTTTATACTCGCACAATTCACATTTATACACTTCCGAATCGTTCTCGTGTCTCACAAAGTGTGCTGTAAAATGGATCTCGCTTCTAGTTTCGTAAATGCATTTATCACATTTGTACAATACTTTGCCCTCCTGCTTGGTTTTCATTTCTGATCCATTCTCATGTTTATATCCATCCTCTTCTTCATCTTTACAGGCACTCTCCACGAATGGTACCATATCGGAGCTCTGCAGTGGCGTGTCGCTGAAAAAATTTCACACAGGGTATATTTAAAAATCAAGTTTTAATTTTCAGGGGTTTATATGTGACACATGAGTCCTCTAGTATCAAAACCCCTTAAATAGGTTTTTGATGAAAAATGAGATATACGCATCATAATATTCCTACAAAAAATTCCCTATTGATGTGTTCATTCGAATGATTGCAAAAGTTACCTAATATGTATAAAAATGTACTCTAAAAAGTGCATTTAGATTCAAATGCCACGAAATCCATTTGAGCTAACGTTCACACCCCACTAAATCCACAATAGCCAATCATAGAAGGCTAATGTGACAACACGTGGTTGGCGGCGCTGTACAAATTTAATTTATGCAGTATTAGATCAGTCACTGTTGTGCTAGTATTATTGTTTTTAGTTTAGTCTTGTATTCGTTAACAAGTGCCAATAAAATAATGTCCGATATTACAACACAAATTTAAATTGTAACACCAGATAAAGGTAGAAAGTGATGTAGAAGATGTTCCAGACCTGAGTGTTTCATTTTATTTTTTATTATTATTTTAGTTTTTTAGTTTTTCATTAGTTTATTATTAATTTTTACTCGTTTTATTAATTATTAATAGTAATTCATAATTACCTTATTAGTTTGTCTTTAATAAAAATGTGTGCCACCTACATTTTTTTTGTCATTTTCATTTGTTCTTTGTCAAAACCCATTAAATCCTATAGTTGGTTTCAAATGCCACTAACTCCATTTTTGTTTTCAAATTTGTAGGTTTATTATAAACAATTTTGTTGTTTGTTGCAATTTGTTGTCCAGTTAGTGTTAAAATTTCACAAAACAAAATTTCATTACGAAGTCGCTGTCAGAAGTTGGTTAAACAGTTTTTCTTCAGTTATGCAAATTTTACTAAAGTGGATTTAAGGGATTTTGATACTAGAGGATTCACATGTCAAAATAATGCATTTAACAAAATGTGACTAATAAACGAACATATTTACATTTGAAGGTAACGCAAAGTGACCAAATATTATCGAAGCCAATGAAGGACACTGTGCAGGTTTAGTATAAGATTGCCAGATAATTAATTGCAATTAATTATGAACAATTACACGGACCAACAAAATTTAACTTTTTTTTTTTTGAAGCAGAAACTTGAATATATATTTCCGAAGGATTTAGGTGCGTTGAATCCGAATCTAGCAGCAGAATTGCTCTATCACTTAGGTTTTTGAGATATCCTAACCTGAAAGTGTAAAAAACACTGTTTTTCGTCATATTTGAGGCAATGTAGTAATGACATCTACTCTTTTTCAAAAAATTAATACATTGAATCTAAAAGTACAAGGCTCTCTCCTTTGAATGCCGTTGAGTCTGCTCAAATAACTTTTTTTTTTCGTTGAGATATCACATGTTGAAATTTTTAAGTTTCTCAGTTTCTTAATATGCAAAAACCTGCCAAGGATCCCTCTAAGGGATCAAGCAGTCGATTGCAATTCGGAACCTTCATATCCATACGGTTTGTGGGTTTGAAGTTGGTGGGCTTGGGGTTTGTAAGCTTGGAGTTTGTAGGTTTGGGTTTTGTGGAATTGGGGATTGTGGGTTTGTGGATTTGGAGTTTGTGAGTTTGAGTTCGTATGTACTGAAGGTTTCCGAATATGAAGTTTTTGAACTGCAATCAACTGTTTGACGTCTAAGGGATCCTTAGTAGATTTTCGCGTATTAAGAAACTGATCTTTTTTTGAGGTTAGAAAAACAACCATTAATTTTAACAGCGGATTCACGTTGGGCGGGGTTTTAACTATATAAAAGAACATTTGAATATAGAAAAAAAAAAAATTGTATTTTTCCTAGCACTTTTTCATGAATTTTTGCTATTTTTCACCTGTTTTTTGAGGTTAGGAAATTCCTGTGATGTGATAGCTCAATTCTGACACCTGATTCGTGATCAGGAGGCAAAAATATTATGGATAACATATGTCACATGAAAAGTACAGACAACTTTTTTTGTGTGGCTGTTATTTAACAATAATTAGGTATGTGTTTTCGTATTAATTATATTTAACCAAATCATTTTTAGTTTTTATTTTGGATAACTATTTATTACTAGCTCTTGCTAGATATCGTTGTGGTGTATTCGATGCCAGTTGAGGCATGTAGCCAATAAAATAGTTGTTTATGAATGAAGTTAGACCCCTTTTGCATACCTAAATTTCTTGTATAGAATATTGTTCGACTTGATTTGATACAATCTTTTAGAATATATATTTTTTTATCTGAATTAGGCCAATATCTTTAAAATAGCGTGTTATTAAATATGAGTGAACAAATCAGGCCAAACTGGCTTTCTTCTTGCAATTTGCTTACATAACCACTAATTATTTCGTAATTCAGTGAAATCTCTATCCTTTTTAAGAAAATTTCCGATTGTTTTATAACAGTCTTTAATTTTTTTACCAGTAACTTGTTAACCTAACTTTTAATGGTTGTATAAAAATTTGTACAATATATTATTCTTAGTCGACTTAATCTCATAATTTGTTACAATTAGTTTATCACCACATGCTAGGTATTTATTCATATAAACCGGGCTCCCTTTTTATAAATTAAAATATTTTACCTCTTTTCCTCATCTTCCGATTTTATGTCGACACATTCAGCTTTGATCGACATTTTCATCTCGTTAATATCGAATTCCTTGCCCAGGTTTTCAGTCTTAACGAATAAATCAAGTGGAGGTGTACTTATTTGACTTCCTGTGGCTGAACTATCAAAAGTACTTTTAATTTTTTCTTCTACCTCTGACCAATCTTTTAGGAAACTGTTGTGAGTACACAGAGAATCGAAGCATGGCTTACAAACAACGGGATCTTTGATGATATTTATATTCTGCAAAGCAATTTTGTTGAATTACAAAATATGCAATTATTTGATATCGTTTATACCATTTCAGGAGTAAATTTCTGAATAGCTTCAAGTTCCTCTTCACGTATGCACCTAAACTCAGTTTCTACTGGGTGCATACACAATCGACATATTCTCTGACTGGAAGAAATATTAACTAACTTGCTTTCCTTTTCCAGCATGTACACATCTCTTAGGTCGAGCTGTAACATTTTCTCGCTATCCACATAAGACATAATTGTGTTATCAGTATTCAGACAAGTCGATTTAAATTCTAACACTGCATTTAACTTTCTTCTACAAACGTTACATATAACCTCTTTGCTCTCGCTATCAAATTTCTGAAAAATATGCAGCTTTAACCGGGAAGACAATAATAACTGTGTCGTAAAATAATAATTAAATACTAAAAGCTGCTTTACACTTGAGACTGTTAAGATCTAATGCAATTATAATTCACTCACCAATTTCAGCAAAAGGCTATCTAGAATATCTCTAATAACGTTGTCTATCACTTCAAAACATTTATCGGTTATATTTTTAAGGCAAAGCCTACACGAAGTTTCCTTAACATCACTCACTGCTTTGTAACAATAATGTTTTCAACATAAAAAGAACACAGACAAGAAAATATAATTCCGCCACTTCTAACTTTTTTAGTTTCTGGCAGCATGCATTGTCACAGAATAAATATTCTGCGAGTATCAGGGTTGCCAATGGTTCCCGGATAAAATACCCGTTACAGGATTCGCCATTACCCACAAATACCCACATTACAATTTTTTACAGGCACATATAAATAAATAATCGATCTAACCGATTAGATTTCAAACAAGAATTAAAATAAAGCAATGGATCCTATACGTTTTTTTTTATTCGTTTTAAAATGGCATATGTCATCGAAACGGTAAGTTATTAACTGCTAGTAGTCCACATAATTTATGTTCAGCCCTTTTTGTAGACTCTTTAATGCGATTTGTCAATAAGGTCACTTATTTTGTTATTCGATTTAATTTGTTTAACATTATTTTTATGTTTTTCCGAAGACTGATGTCATTAATTGCCCATAAAAATGATCTGTATCGACATCAGTCTTCAGAAAAACATAAAAATAATGTTAACTGGGCACTCGCAGCATAGCACAGAGTCACAAGAAACAAAAAGGCATATATTAATAAATTAGTGAGACGGGCGGACTGACGGCTGTCCTGTGGGGCTTTCGTTTTGACAAAAATAGTACCTATTAGCAACTAATATCAGTTCAGAGTAACTCTAAGTTACTATTAGCTGCTAATAGCTACTATTTTTGCCAAATCGAAAGGACCTCTGGAGGCTTTCGTTTTGGCAAAGTCTTCTCTTATTATCAACTAATATCAGTTCAGAGTAACTCTAGTTGCTACTAGCTGCCGTTAGCTACTATATTTGTCAAATTGGAAGGCCCTCTGTGTTACAACGAGAGTATTATATCTATTCTTTATTATCTTATGTATAAAATAAGACATAGCAGTACGCGTAGAGTAGGTTAGCCACCTACAACGCAATATAAAGTTACTTCCCTAATAAAATAAATATTCCCCACAAAATCTCTAGGAAAAACAATTCCGCACAAAAAACCCAGACAATGAAACTCTCCACGTTTTGGGAAATTACCCACATATTGACAACCCTGGTGAGCATAGACTATGGGAAGGAATAGAGATGGGTGATGGAAGAAACGACACTGATCCGGCTCACTGCGTCGGCGCTTCCCCTGCTATTTTCTGTCTGTATGGTTTTAATATAAGCAACTCTGATATTTTCTGTTTTATGGATAACTATACACAAGTTAATAGATGGCATGGCTATCTTTTTGTTAAAGTAACTAGGGAGTACATTAAAATGAATTATGATTAATGAATATGAAATTATGATTAATTAATAGTGAATTTATGACATAGCTGTGTTTTATTTACGTGTGACCTCAGTTAATTTTATTTAACTCAGCAATAAGCATTCAAAATAATTGAGATTAGTTAGGAAGTCGGGAACATAAAATAAATTTTTTTCTCAAATTCTGCCGTGATAACATAACTTCCTTTTAACTTTTTTTTAAGTAATTTTCATACTTTGCTAGACAAGCCGGTATGACCCAAAACAACGGCGAGCGATAGTCGTTTCTCAACCCGAGACCATAGGCTTGTTTGAAAAAGTATTTTTTTAGTAGCATGGAAAGGCGAAGGAAGTAAAAGGCTTTGATCATACCAGTGTGAAAAGAGTTTGTAGTTACCGTCTTTCATTTGTGGTACGGCATTTCAGCGTTTTAGAGACGTTCGGAATATGATGGGATTCTCCTTAAATTTGAACTGTTCACTGATTGTTTTGTTGTAAAAAGACCACAGACATAACGTATTTCTTTAGACACCCGTTTCAACATTCCTAAATGCATCAATTTCTACTGTACGTTTGTGAAACTAAAATAGTTCAACTAAATTAGGTCACTGTCAAAGGTGATTGACACTGAGAATCACAAATGAAATACATGTTGCTTAAAAAAATAATAACACAAGTAGATATATGAGGCGGTTTCTGGATCAGGAAGTGACGTCACGAACTCGATGGCCAGCGTCCATCGAGTTCGGCGCGCTCCTTCAGCGGCTTCTTGTGGGCATTGTCGTTGTGCAAGAGATGCGTGGGTGTTGGCATGCAAGAAGAGTCATGGCGGTACGGGGGTGGCTACCTGAGGAGGTTGAGGGCAGGTCGCTAACAAGAAGTGTCATGGCGGCATGGAAGTGANGTGGGGCTTTCGTTTTGACAAAAATAGTACCTATTAGCAACTAATATCAGTTCAGAGTAACTCTAAGTTACTATTAGCTGCTAATAGCTACTATTCTTGCCAAATCGAAAGGACCTCTGGAGGCTTTCGTTTTGGCAAAGTCTTCTCTTATTATCAACTAATATCAGTTCAGAGTAACTCTAATTTGCTACTAGCTGCTGTTAGTTACTATTTTCGTCAAATTGGAAGGCCCTCTGTGTTACAACGAGAGTATTAGATCTATTCTTTATTATTTTATGTATAAAATAAGAGATAGCAGTACGCGTAGAGTAGGTTAGCCACTTACAACGCAATATAAAGTTACTTCCCTAATAAAATAAATATTCCCCACAAAATCTCTAGGAAAAACAATTCCGCACAAAAAAACCCAGACAATGAAACTCACCGCGCCATTATTCTATGGCTAGAAATTGGCCTCAATGATTTGGGATCGAGGGGGATTATCCCTCTTTATCCTGCCTCATCTCGTGTAGGCCTGGACAGCCTTCGTAGGTGGGCCCCATNGTGAAAACAACCTCCTTATAACTTAGTAATTTTCATACTTCGCTGGACAAGCCGGTCTGACCTAAAGCAACGACGCACGGTATTCGTTTCTCACCCCGAGACCATCGACTTGTTTGAAAAAGTATTTTTTTAGTAGCATGGAAAGGCGAAGGAAGTAAAAGGCTTTGATCATACCAGTGTGAATACAGTTTGTAGTTACCGTCTTTCATTGGTGGTACGGCATATCAGCGTTTTAGAGACGTTGGGAATATGATGGGATTCTGCTTAATTTTGAACTGTTCACTGTTTGTTTTGTTGTAAAAAAACCACAAACGTAACGTATTTCTTTAGACACCCGTTTCAACATTCCTAAATGCATCAATTTTTACTGTACGTTTGTGAAACTAAAATAGTTCAACTAAATTAGGTCACTGTCAAAGGTGATTGAGACTGAGAATCACAAATTAAATACATGTTGCTTAAAAAAATAATAACACATACTTTGCAAAAACTTGAAATAATTTAAAAAAATTATTATTTCGTAAATCAGATTGGTATTTTAATTTAGTTTTTATTATATTCCCTTTTTAATACAACAAAAATAATTATTTTACAATATAAAATTAGTCCCACTTTATTTATTTATTTAAAATAACAAGTAAGTTATAAAAACAACTGGCAACGCTGAATTTGTGCAGCAATACAACTCTGGGTAGTTATATCCCAATTGCACAGTTCAAATAGAAAACTTGCGAGCAAGTTTCATATCGAGTCAAGTAGATACGACAACTGGCAACGTCGAACAGAGCACAACTGCGTGCGGGAGAAATTGATAGAAACTTATATTTACGGGGCACAAGGTTTGGTTAGGTAAGTGTTAAATATAATGGATGCATTACAATCGTTTGGTAAGTTTTAAAAAAATTTAGCAGGAATCGCCCACATTGTATGATTTATTTTGTTGGTTCTTTTAAAGGAAAAACGCAAACTGGAATAAATATGGTTTTAGATGAAAATTTTGTAGAACGCAGCACGCGAGCTAACTAACTTTTCTTCAATATAATGAGAATACGATTATTAATATCGAGGCAGACGTTATGTTTTCTTCGTAATCACATAGTTAAGATAGGTGTCACATCCACACTTGTCGCTCTTAAATCCCTCCATTTTTGACAATATTTTGCACAACGACCGAAGGATGAAAATTCACACCAGCTAACCTTTTTTGTGCATCAATTGAGGTTGCCTCAAAGATTCCTAATGCTCGGTTGTTAGCAAAGCATACCGCTACATTTGCATTTATGAAGACCCTTTATGCTTCAACATGTGACGTCCAATACAAATCTTGTATTTACTTTCATAATCACAGTCTTTACACTTGTATATTTGAACACGTGGGGCCTTTTTATGTTGCAGTTGATGCTGTTTGATATGACTGTTGTATTTAGTTTCGTAATTGCAGTCATTACACTTGTACATTTGAACCAGTAAAGGATCTTTATGTTTCAATTGGTGCCTTTTGATAGCATTCTTGTATTTAGTTTCGTAATCACAGTGGTTACATCTGTACATTTGAACCTGCGAAGGCTCTTTATGTTTCAGTTGGTGATTTTTGATATTACCCTTTAATTCAGTTTCATAATTGCAGTCGTTACACCTGTACACTTGAACCTGTGAAGGGTCTTTATGTTTCAGTTGGTGGTTTCTTATAACATATTTGTATATAGTTTCGTAATCGCAGTCGTTACACTTGTACATTTGAACATGTGAAGGATCTTTATGTTTCAGTTGGTGCCTTTTCATAGTATTCTTGTATTTACTTTCGAAATCGCAGTCGTTGCACTTGTACATTTGAACCTGCGAGGGTTCTTTATGTTTCAGTTGGTGATTTTTGATAATATACTTGTATTTAGTTTCGTAATTGCAGTCGGTACACCTGTACATTTGAACCTGGGAGGGTTCTTTATGGCTCAGTTGGTGCCGTTGGATATTTCTCTTGTGTCTAGTTTCATACATGCAGCTGTTACACTTGTACATTTCAACCTGCGAAGGGTCTTTATGTTTCAGTTGATGCTGTTCGATAACATTCTTGTATTTAGTTTCGTAATCGCAGTCGTTACACCTGTACATCTTAACCTCTGAAGGATATTTATGCTTCAACAGGTGCATCTGAAGTAATTTCTTACTTTTAGGTTTATACCCACACGACTCACACTTATTATATGCTTCCAAATTGTTCTCGTGTCTCGCACAGTGTGCCGAAAAACGAATCTCACTTTCAGTTTCGTAAATACAATTATCACATTTGTACAATACTATGCGCTCCTGCTTGGTTTTCACTTTTGATGCATTTTCACGTTTACATCCATCCTCTTCTTCACCTTTACAGTCACTCTCCTCGAATGGTACAATACTGCGGCTCTGAAGTGGCGTGTCACTGAAAAAATTGCAAATACAGGGTATTTTTGAAAATCGGGTTTTAATTTTAAGAGATAATCGTTTATCGGAGATTAGCGTCTAATTAAATTAAGTAAGTTCGTTACACAATTAATTATTTTCATTCAGTGAGAATATATTTCTACTCTTATTTTTTTTTGTGTGTAGGCTTAGTTAACAATTCAATTAACAAAATAAGCGTTTGTTTTTTGAAATATTGGAAGTTTTAACAATTTTTTTGTTTTAAAATCATTTTTGTTCGTATACCGGGCGGGACATTTATCTTGAGACAAAGTAATATCTTGGTTGGACTCGATTATTTCGAAAAAAAAGTTTCAGAGAAAAATTGTACGGCACCTACCTTGACTTCAAGGTCGTTTGAAGATCAAATTCAAAAATTTCAATGGGACGCCTTTTTTTACCTTAGAAATTGCAAGAGCGGGAAGTTTTACAATAAGATATGAACTTAACCGCAAGAACAAGATCAGATATCAGTCACTTTAAGGTCGATCTTCAAACGACCTTTAAGTCAAAGTCAAGGTCATGTCAAAATAGGCCCTTTTGACCCTACAACTTTTGTATGAATTATTTTTAAAAAAAAAGTTATCCCAACAAGGCACTTCGTTGTCTCAATATTCTTGTTTTCTTTTTGTTTTTATTATGAAAAATTCTTTGTTTCTTTTTTCAATCGAAATCCATGGTGAAAAATGTGTTTCCATTTAAAAAAATCAACTCTCGGTCTGAAAACAACACTTCCGGTCTAGACCGGATGTCGTAATATGGACCTTTGAATGGCCCCCTCGGTGCCCTACAATTTTTGTCTGAAACTTTTATCGAACTAACACAGCCCCACAAAAAAAATAAAGTATCGGATCTGGTATTCAGACCCATCTGCCTTCAGATTTGGCCCAACGGGTCTGAGTTTTCGGGAAAATTAAAAAAACTGGTCAAAATTCACAAAAAACGTCAAATACGATCGACGAAAGTTATAAAAAAGTCAAATTATTCTATCAGCTCACTAGACGTATGATTTTTCACTCTTTTAATTCCAATTTATCATCATAGAGTCAGACAAGCTGGTCCAATTTCATTCAAAAACAGAAAATAGATCAAAAATTCCATTTTCATGGCATAATTCGTGTTGCAGAGTTCTGGATCCATCTTTTTGTCCACCCACACATTTCTATCCAGTCGTTCATGCATGAATACGCATATTTATCCATCCACCTGTACCACCTACAAAACCCACCCATACACCCATCTATCCATCTACTTTTTGTGCTGAGAGAAGAGAGATAGAAGATTGAGAATGCAATAAAATTTGTAGATTACTCTACTTTCTAAACAAAAGAAAACGATATCTACAAATCATTCTTATTTTTGTTGCTAGAACGTGTTCTCTTTTCTTCAAAGGGTCTATGCAAAGGGTTACGCTTTCATTTAGTCCCTCTATTTTTCATTTCTCTTTTTAACAACGATTCAGCGAAAAAATACATGGAAATACATGGGTTTGAATACCAGATCCGATACTTTTTTTCTGTGGGGCTGTGTAATCGACTCCAACCGAGATATTATTCTGTTTCAAGATAAATGCCCCATCGGGTATATACTTATCTATAAATTATTATTTATAGCCCTGTTGTTAAATAATACCTTTAAAATGGCGTAAAAATGAACAAACAAGGCCAAGCTGGCATTCTTCTTGCAATCTACTTACATAAGCACTCATTATTTTGTAACTGGGTGAGATTTATGCTTTTTGTTCCAAGAAAATTGCGATTTCCACCCAGTTAAAAAAAATTTAATGAATGAATGAAATCTAGTATAGTATTCGTTGTACCACTATCTGATTTAAAGCTATACTTACTGTTTCATAATGATCTCAAATTTTTTCCCAGTAATTTGTTAACCTAACTTTTAATGATTGCATAAAAATTTGTACAATATACAGTTTATAACAGACAAAATTGCATAATTTGTTACAATTAGTTATCACCAGATAGTACGGTACGTATTTAATCATGTATATCATGACGGTGTCAAGACCACCGGCTGCCATTTTTTCAATTAATGTTAAAACCGTCTTACCTCCTTTCCTCATCTTCCAACTTTATGTCGATACTTTCAACTTTGATGGACATTTCCATCTCGTTAATATGGAATTCTTTGTCCAAGTTTCCAGTCTTAACCAATAAATCAAGTGAAGACGTATCTATTCGACTTTCTGTGGCTAAACAATCAAAAGTATTTTTAATTTTTTCCTCTACCTCTAAGCAATCTGTTAGGAAACTGTTGTGAGTACACAGAGAATCCAAGCATTGCTTACAAACAACGGGATCTTTGATGATATTTATATTCTACGAAGCAATTTTGTTAAATTACAAAATATACAATTATTTAATATGGTTCCTACCATTTCAGGAGCCAATTTCTCGATAGCCTCAAGTTCCTCTTCACTTATGCACCTAAACTCACTTTCTACTGGCTGCATACACAATCGACATATTTTCTGACTGCAAGAAATGCTAACTAACTCGCTTTTCTTTTCTTGCATGTACACTTCTCTTAAATCGAGCTGTAACATTTTCTCGCTATCCACATAAGGAATAATTGCCTTATCGGTATTCATACATGTTGATTTAAATTCTGACGCCGCATTTAACTTTCTTCTGCAAACGTTACATATCACCTCTTTGCTCTCGTTATCAAATTTCTGAAAAATATGCAACTTTTACCAGAAAGAAAATAACTGTCCCGTAAAATAAGAATTAAACACTAAAAGTTTCTTTACACTGGAGACCGTTAAGACGTAATCTAATTATATTTCACTAACTTACCAGTTTCAGCAAAAGAACATCTAGAATGTCTCTGATACTGTTGTCTGTTACATCAAAACTTTCATCGATTATATTTTTCAGGCAAAGCCTACACGAAGTTTCCTTAACATCAGCCATTGCTCATCAACAACCTTATTTTTAGTATAAAAAGAACACGGAGACAAAAATATAATGCCGTCACTTCTCAAGAATTGCTTATATACGATTCTTGGCCACTTCTAACCTTTTTAGCTTCTTCTGACAGCTGGACAGCACAGATACGGCCATAGACAAAGATACGGCCGTCTTCCGTCTCCAACTATCTGAAAACGGCCGTGGCACAGAGCACAGCGAACACAGATCACAGAGTGTAATTGTAGTTAGGAATAGAGATGGGCGAAACATGACGATCCGGCTCTCCGAACTGACACGAGAGATCGGAGTGGAGTTCGTTCTCAGAGTCCACAGATTAGAAAAAGGATACCAGTCATTACACACGACAGCTCATATCATGCTACGGGTCCCGTGAATACGCCTATCTATACAGGGTGTCCGGTAACTACGGGGAAAAATTAAAGTTATATAGAGCAGGTCAAGAGTGCTAGTACTTCATATAAACATTTTTCCTAGGTGCCATTGTTGAGGAGTTATCGTCACTCAAAGTAAGAAGTTGAAAAATGAATATTGCCCATAATTTCTAAAGGGTTACTTTGATTAAATTGAGGGGGAGCAAAGCAACTTATTCAAATGTATTTTTGTACATTTAAAATCGAATTAAATATTTTTTATTATACAAGGACTGTCGAAATTATGTTCTAAAATTTACGCAACTTTGACAGAGCTGTCAAATTTGACATTTCGCCCTTGCAGGCTGATGGCACTGTTACTTTTCTATAAAAAAGGTATACGTCGTGAAGACTTATGAAAAAATGTCCCCGACACAACGCAACAGAAAAAAGTTAAGAATGAAACATATGGATTAAAAGATATTACTTCAGTAAATGCTCGATATGTCCTCCATCAAGTTCAATGCACTTCCTTATTCTTTTAAGATTATTTTGTTGCATGAAAACCCTCATTATTTAGTCATTCAAGGCACACACCAGAATAGATTCATAGTTAATGTATGGGCAGGAATAATCGGTAACCAATTAATAGGCCCATTTTTCTTACCGGGTAGATTAAACGATGCCCGATATTTGAATTTTTTACAAAACGTTCTAAATCTACTAGTAGAAAATGTGCCATTGCAAACAAGACAGATGTATTTCATGCATGATGAGGCACCGCCCCACATCAGTCGTGAAGTTAGAAATTACCTCAACGCAACATTTGGTGATAGGTGGATTGGGCGAGGCGGACCACACTTATGGGCACCTAGGTCACCAGATCTTAACCCCCTTGACTTATTCCTGTGGGGTTACCTAAAATAATTGGTGTATTCAATTACGGTTTATACAAGAGAAGATTTGATGGCAAGAATAGAACATAATTGTAATGAAATTAAACAGAATCCACAACTGCTATTTAGAGTTGAATATAACACTAAAGATTCATATTCGATTATAAAACAGTGAAAACGTTAACACTATTAAAAATACTAAATTGTAATAGCCTAACATTCGAATATTGTGGTAGGTCAAGATTCACTCTCGATAAACATTTGTGGGTCAGCGGTAAGAAGCCGTTCGAAAAGGGGTTTAGTTATTTGAAAGTAATTTTTTGCAGCATATTCACGATGGTCTCAACATTAGAAAATTTCCAGTTCAGAAGCGTATTTGAACAATATAAAATGAAAAATGAAAATGAAATGCTTCTGATATTGTTTTGTGTCATTTTTATTTGTACAATGAATGGCAAAATTCGTAATCCATATTAAAAATTTTTTCAGTGGCTTCTCAAAAAGAAAAATATTCTTGATAAAAGTTGCCGCATCCCCAAACTAGAGCATATTTATTTTTTTTAATATACAATGTAACAACTTTTTTTAGTTAAATTTTTTGAGAAATTAGAAAAAGTTGTCTGATGGTGTTCGAATTAAGTTATACAATACAAATAAAAATATCACAAAAGCAGAGTATTAGAAATATTTAAAAAATTACTGACACTGTTTATACTGTTTCAAAAATGCTTTTGAAATGAAAATTATCTAAAGTTGAACGCATTACGAGAACAATATGGTTGTTTCAAGAAAAATGGAAACGTTTCTTATTTTTTCCTGTCTTTCCTTAGAATTAATGACATTCTGGAATCTGGAATTGTGGGGAGGGTAGCAAAGCTACAGCACTTAGGCCCCATTGGGCCCCTTGTACATCCTCCCATTAGAGATCAATCCACCTGAGCCGCCAACCAGCCTATTACAGTGAAAAATGTAATAGGCTGGTTGAATGAATTAATGACATTATGACTGAATCACCCTATATGAGTATAACTCGCTCGACGTGTAATTACCACACCAGTACTCAACACTTCCCTCCATAAAAAAATAACGCACATCTATTTTGCTTTAGTTCTTTTATTCCTAATATTGTTATAAAAAAGCTATTAGCTTTGTTCCTAGTAGAATCCAAAACAGTTTCCAACAGTCAGACGCATGCGCATATGGATGTAATGCTTACATAAGGCTCAAAATTCATTGTTTTGAATCAAATGCGATTGCGTCGGACTGTTGGAAACTAATTCTAATGCACTTGGAACAAAGCTATTAATTATACAAGCCGTTACAAATTCACTTTCCACTACAGGGATCTCGGAAACGGTAAAATATATACGAACTAGCTTAAACGAGGGCAAAGTTGCGTAATCAAAGGACCAATATTATGCCTCTACAAAATCAAGGCTAACATGATTAGTTTACGAAATATTTGAATAAAACCGCAATTGTAGAAATCCGATTTTGTTTCATTTCAGCCTCGTTTGAGGTGATATTGAAAAAACAAGAACACTTTTCATGGCAACTTTTGCCCTCTATCGAATGGTATAATCAATTTTTATATGTAACTTTTCGTCTCACCAGAACCATCATCAACTTAATTTTTTAAAATACCACCCTGGAAATTTTATTACATTTTTTCCAAGCCTCCATGACCCCCAGTACTGTACTGTTTCAGCCCGAATCAGATTCAGACGTTTTGTCTCGAAAAATTCATATTCAATGTTTTCGTTACAAATTTTTTTATTTCGACGAGGCTAATAGTTTAAGTAACTAGGTGGATCTCACGGGGTCTAACGACACAGTGTATCAAGAAACATGAAACATTACATATTAAAATTGATTATGCCATTCGATAGAGGGCAAAAAGTTGCCAGGAGAAAGTGAGGCTGAAACGAGAGAAAAACGGATTTCCAAAATTTCGTTTTTATTCAAATATTTCGAAAACTAATCGTGTTGGCCTTGATTTTTTAGAGGCATGATATTGATCCCCTGGTTACGTAACTTAGCTCCCATTTAAGCTAGTTCGTATCTATAGTATTATGGCGGCTGCGCATACGTTCCTTGTTTTTGGTACAAAACTTTTGGTTTTTGGTTTTTGGTTGGTTTGGTTATTGATTTAAGATAAATCAATGTCAAATGTAATAGTTCATTGTAAATCATCTTTAATATATGTTAATATTGCAAACACCGTTTGTACGAATTACAATTCAGTACTTAACAAGTTGTGAGGTGCACGAGGACATCACAGTATCTGTTACCGTTTTCGAGATCCCTGTGGTGAGAAGCGAATTTGTAACACCCTGTATATTCCACAAAGTAAATTGTATCACTATTTAAAATACATATCGATGTACACGATTAGGACTCACTCTGAATATTGGTAATAAAACAGGATACATTTTTAGACATGAACAAAACAAGTACATATTACAATGCATTTATATGAATATACTTCATTGCAGAACCACAGGTGAACATGTTGATGTTTTTCAAGATAGGCTTTACATTTTGATTTAATTCAAATATTTATAGTCAGTCTTTAAAATGCCAATATTTTTTACTGTAGTTCAATGGGCGGAACTTCACATTTTTTGTGCATCAATTGATGTCTCCTCAAAAACATCTTTGCACTCATGAAGGCTTCAACACGTGATATTTTATACCACTCCTGTATTTGGATTCGTAATCACAGTCATTACACTATTATCATTAGAACTTGAGCAGCACATTTGTTTCAGTTGATGCCGCTGCAGATGATGCTTGTATTTATTTTCGAAGGGGCAGTTGTTACACTTGTATGTCCGGACCTGAGAAGGATCTTTATGTTTCACTTGATGCCTTTGTATCATATACCTGTATTTATTTTAGTAATTTCAGTTGTTACACTTGTATGTTTGGACTGGCAGAGGATTTTTATGCTTCAGTTGGTGCTGTTCAATACTTTTAATGTATTTAGTTTCGAAATCGCAGTCCTTACATCTGTACATTTGAACCTGCTAGGGATCTTTATGTTTCAATTGATGATTTTTAAAATAACTTTTGAATTTAGTTTCAAAATCGTAATCGTGGACACCTGTACATTTGAACCTGTGAAGGATCTTTGTTTCAGTTGATGCTGTTTGAAATGCCTGTTGTATCTAGTTTTGTAATCGCAGTTGTTACACCCGTACATTGTATAACTTGTAAAGGAACTTTATGTTTCAGTTGATGTTGTACATTTGAACCTGTGAAGAGTCTTTATGTTTGGTATGGTGCTCCTCGATACGCTTCTTGCATTTAGTTTTATAGCTGCAGTCGTTACATCTGTACATTTGAACTTGCGAAGGATCTTTATGTGTCAGTTGGTGCCGTTTGATATTTCTCTTGTATTTAGTTTCGAAATCGCAGTCATTACACTTGTACGTTTGAACCTGTGAAGGATCTTTATGTTTCAGTTGATGCTGTTTCAAATCACTGTCATATCTAGTTTTGTAATTACAGTAGTTGCACCAGTACATCTTAACCTGTGAAGGATCTTTATGTTTCAGTTGATGCTGTTTCAAATCACTGTCGTATCTAGTTTTGTAATTACAGTCGTTGCACCAGTACATCTTAACCTGTGAAGGATCTTTATGTTTCAGTTGATGCTGTTTGAAATGGTTGTTGTATCTAGTTTTGTAATTGCAATCATCACACCTATACATTTGATACTGTGAAGGATCTTTATGATTCAGTTGGTGCTCTTTGATATTTCTCCTGTATTTAGTTTCGAAATCGCAGTGACTACACTTGTACATTGGAACCTGTGAAGGATCTTTATGTTTCACTTGATGCTGTTTGAAATACCTCTTATATTTAGTTTCATAATCGCAATCGTGACACCTGTACATCTTAACCTGTGAAGGATCTTTATGTTTCAGTTGATGCTGTTTGAAATGGCTGTTGTATTTAGTTTTGTAATTACAGTCATCACACCTGTACATTTGAACCTGTGAAGGATCTTTATGTTTCTGTTGATGCTGTTTGAAATAACTCTTAAATTTAGTTTCAAAATCGCAATCGTGACACCTGTACATCTGAACCTGTGAAGGATCTTTATGTTTCTGTTGATGCTGTTTGAAATAACTCTTATATTTAGTTTCAAAATTGCAATCGTGACACCTGTACATCTGAACCTGTGAAGGATCTTTATGTTTCAGTTGATGCTGTTTCAAATGACTGTCGAATCTAGTTTTGTAATCACAGTCGTTGCACCTGTACGTTTGATCCTGTGAAGGACCTTTATGTTTCAGTTGGTGCTCTTTGATATTTCTTTTGTATTTAGTTTCAAAATTGCAGTCATTACACTTGTACATTTGAACCTGTGAAGGATCTTTATGTTTCACTTGATGCTGTTTCAAATGACTGTCGTATCTAGTTTTGTAATCACAGTCGTTGCACTTGTACATTTGATCCTGTGAAGGATCTTTATGTTTCAGTTGGTGCCCATTGATATTTCTCTTGTATTTAGTTTTGTAATTGCAGTCATTACACTTATACATTTGAACCTGTGAAGGATCTTGATGTTTCACTTGATGCTGTTTCAAATGACTGTCGTATCTAGTTTTGTAATCACAGTCGTTGCACCTGTATGTTTGATGTTTCATTTGATGTCGTTTGATATAACCCATATATTTAGTTTCATAATCGCAATCGTTACACCTGTACATTTGAATCTGCAAAGAATCTTTATGCTTCAACGGGTGCTTCTGAAGTAATTTCTTATTTTCAGTTTCGTACTCACACGATTCAGATCTATTCACTTCCGAATCGTTCTCGTGTCTCGCACAGTGTGCTGTAAAAGGGATCTCGCTTTCGGTTTCATAAATGCATTTATCACATTTGTACAATACTCTGCCCTCCTGCTTGGTTTTCATTTCTGATCCATTCTCATGTTTACATCCATCCTCTTCTTCATGTTTACAGACACTCTCCTCGAATGGCACAATATCGGAGCTCTGCAGTGGCGTGTAGCTGAAAAAATTGTACAAACAGGGTATTTTTCATAATCAAATTTTAAGTTTTAGAGGTTATAGGTGACACATGCCAAAATATTGCATTTAGCAAAAGATTATTCCAGTAAACGGCATATTTACATTTCAAGTTAATAAGACGTAATTTTTATTTATACATTTGTACCACCGTACCGGAACAATTTAGTGCCTGCTGTCATTTCTATCATTATCACTGTTACACTTGATTGAGTTATATGTTATTAAAAAAATTATAAGTTTATAAACTCCATAAGGCATTACTTTTTATTATAATAAAATAATTTTCGTGCCGTTCAAATAGTGGAATAAGAGAGTATAAAGTTGAAATAAGACTAGGAATTTCGTTTTTAGACGTTTTTTTAATAAAAATTCAGATCAAACAGTTGTGACATTTTGATAAGTTTGTAGCGGACAAGTCACTTTAATGACAGAAATGCTTTACAGTACACCTCCTTCAACTATTCCTTAGGTCAGTAGAATTGTTGTAAATTTATTTTTATTAATTTAGTTTTGGGGGCTAACTACTCGTGTCAAAAAATTTTTTCTAAGAAAACTTATCGAATTAAATAAAATGTGTACTGTAGTAGCTGATTTTTTTAGTGTTCACCTTTGTCACAAAAATCATTTCAAGCTTTTATTTTAGATATCCACGTATGACTAGCTGTTATTAGATATGACTGTGGCATACTCGATGCCATGTAGCCCATAAAATATACGTATACAAATCAGGTTAAACTGGTTTTCTTCTTGCAATCTGCAATCTGCTTACATAACCACTAATTGTTTTGTAACTCGGTGAGAGTTCTATCATTTTCGTGCCAAGAAACTTTCGATTTCTGCCCAAAGATAAAGAAATTTTGAATTAATGAAAACTAGTATAGCATTCCTTGATATTCAAAGCCATACTGATTGTTTTATAATGATCCTAATTTTTTTTCCAGTAACTTGTTAACCTAAATTTTAATAATTGTATAAAAATTTGTACAATGTACCGGTTATAACCGACAAAATCGCATAATTTGTTACAATTAGTTTATCACCACGGTATGGTACGTATTTAATCAATGTATATCACGACAGTGTCAAGACCACCGGCTGCCATTTTTTAAATTAATGTTAAAACGGTCCCCTCTTACCTCCTTTCCTCAGCTTCTGATTTTATGTCGATACTTTCAGCTTTGACAGACATTTCCATCTTGTTGATATCGAATTCTATGTCCAAGTTTTCGGCTTTAACCAATAAATTAAGAGAAAACGTATCTATTTGACTTTCTGTGGCTGAAGAATCAAAAGTACTCTCAATTTTTTCCTCTACCTCTAAGCAGTCTTTCAGGAAACTATTGTGAGTGCACAGAGAATCCAAGCACGGCTTACACACAACGGGATCTTTGACGATGTTTATAATCTGCAAAGTATAGTTTTTTTAATAGAAAAAGTATTTAATATCATTAATACCATTTCAGGAGCCAATTTCTCAATAGCTTCAAGTTCCTCTTCAAGTATGCACCTAAACTCGCTTTCTACTGGGTGCATACACAATCGACATATTTTCTGACTGCAAACTAATTCACTTTTCTTTTCCTGCATGTACACTTCTCTTAGGTCGAGCTGTAACATTTTTTCGCTATCCACATAAGGAATAATTGTATTTTCGGTATTCAGACATGTTGACTTAAATTCTGAAGCCGCATTTAACTTTCTTCTGCAAACGTTACATATAACCTCTTTGCTCTCGTTATCACATTTCTGAAAAATATGCACTTTAACCAGAAATAAAATACCTGTGGCGTAAAATAACAAATAAACACTAAAAGTTTCTTTACACTTGAGACCGTTAGACGTAATCTAATTATATTTCACTAACTTACCAATTTCAATAAAAGAACATCTAGAATGTCTCTGACAATATTGTCTATCACTTCAAAACTTTCATCGGTTATATATTTAAGGCAAAGCCTACACGAAGTTTCCTTAACGTCAGTCATTGCTCTTTAACAATCTTATTTTAAGTATAAAAAAGAACACGAGACAAAAATATAATGCAGATGCCGTCACTTCTAACCTTTTTGTTTTGGCTTCTTCTAATTCTTCTGACAGCACAGACCACAGAGTCACAGAAGAGTTGTTTTATCTTCTGTGACAGTGTAGTTGTGGTTAGGAATAGAGATGTGAGAAACGACACTGCGTCGGCTCTTAGTAAATAAAAAGTTTCGATAATAATTTATACAGGGTGTCTCATAATTTTGTTTAAATTACTATGAAATTGACCAAAGTGGGATTAATTCAAGAGGGATTTTCTCAGAAACCGTTAAAGATAACGATTTGAAACAAGAGTACCTTTTTAACGTAAAACAGTACGGGAAAACGGAATTTGCTGTCCAATTTGTTAAAAAGTCAAAGATGAAAAAGTTACACACGCAAAGTACCAAGGGCCATTGGGGTGGGTACGGGGGGGCCCTTGGTACTTTGCGTGTGTAACTTTTTCATCTTTGACTTTTTAACAAATTGGACAGCAAATTCCGTTTTCCCGAACTGTTTTACGTTAAAAAGG